GTTCGGCAAGTAATTAATAATTACTAATGATATTTCTATCGTTGAAATCCGAAAGATAAAAATGATAAATCAACGGGTTTCGGAGAAAAAAAAATGTATTTCACTATTTATAATTCAATTTTTTTGAAAAAAATTACATTATCAATATTATAAGTTAATCATAATTTGATCTTGACGGATACAATAAAATACTTATTTAATTTTCATTTAATATAATTTTTTAAAGAATTTAATAAATAAGACGTAAATAAAAATTTCATAAAATCGGCAAACTGTAATTTATCGATTTCATGAATTAGGCAGATTATTTTTGTCTAATCTATAGTTTTACGTTCTCGCCAATATTGAATACATGAATTCAATAATGGTAAAATCGACAGTTTTCCGAATTTGTCGTAAATTATATTTTACAGTAAAAACGTTGATTTATTCTAACATAATTTCCAATAATAAACGTTGTAGATAACAATGAATAATTTAAAAGGTTTATTAACCTTATTTACTAAAGATTTACGTCAGTTTCAAATAATATTAATTTTATGTGCTTATTTTTTTTAAATATTAATATTATAATATTATTTATTTCCACGTGACAAAAATCTGTAAAAATTTTAATTACATTATTTTCCAGCTATTCGAATAGAAAATGTATTCGTCTTATACTTCATCTCACATTGACATCTTTGATAATCGCTTGTGCCCGTAACACTATTATAGGCGTATGTTTTTCGAAGTCTTATCTATCTTTCTCTAGAAAAAAGATTATGGAGAAGATTTTTCTAAAAAAAGCGTTGTGGTTCACACGTGACGATATCTCCGATGCGAAGCACGGACGTTAGAGCTTACACGCATAAGTGTAACACAATCGTGCGCACGTCAGGAACAGTATTTGGTCCGAACGAAAAAATATGTTAAAAACGAAACCTGCTGTTAGCGCGTGACGAAAAGTTATTTTATTTTACATTGCTGTAAATAGTTTCAATGTGGTCGCAAAAAACCGATAGTATAGGCATCATTGTTCAAGAAAATGGTTTATCGATACGACAGTTATAGTTTTTACCCTTGTGGTCGAGTGCGCATTACGGATTCAGAAGAATGCACACGAAAAACTGGTAACGAATCGACCGTACTTGGGTAGCGATCCAAATCGATCAAGTATTTTGGCATTGAAATCCAATCCGCACCGTTGTTACATACACGTGAAACGTGAAATCAGTAATAACTATGCCGTTCGTGTTTGTAAACGATTTGGGTTTCCAAACAAAACACATCATTGGTGACGAGTAGATTAAAACTTACAGAACAAGCGCGTCGGAGGAAGGAAAAGTTCAAAATATTCGCGGTACGGGTCCTTTCGGAGAGGACTACATAGTTGCCACGCGCCTTGCATGCGGTTCTAGATCTTTTATTGAAAACATCACAAAAGCGAAAGGCGCGTGATCGTAAATCATTCGACTCATCGAATAACGTGGCCGTGACAAGTCATGCTGGTTTCCGAACGCTCCTGGGATAGATTTTTCAACGGCGTCCGCGCAGAAGGACGATTTTTCCGTCGCGTTCTTATTGCATCCCGTTTCACAAAATGCTATCGTTAAAAAACCCGTATCCGGTCAAGCCGATCGGGAGTAAAAAAACCACCCTCCCCATTTTTATGTTGGTTTTTCGAAACGCGTAATGCGTCTGTTCGTAAACATGCACACGTGTCCCGATCGAATTTCATTGCCACGAAAATGTCTTCGTGCCGCAAACGTTGACCGTACACTTACGGTGGTCGGTTTTCCGACCTCGTATTCAGTGGGTACGCTGTTGGTTTTGTGTTTTATTTTTTCTCCTCACCAAAAACGTTGCGCTAGGGTTGAACAAAATATATAATCCTCGTTCACGATACGTGGTGCCAGCGAATTACGAGATGCGGAAATAATGATTGCCGTTATCCTATCCATTTGTCGGGATTACGCGTGTGATGATAATAGATTCGCAGCCCGATCATCAAACATTCTGTGCACTATTGGCTCGGTACGATTTTATCAATTTATTGGGATTTATTGTATTTCACCATACACGCAGATAATTGATTCACCATCCTATATGCGATATTTTTTTAATTTTTTTTTTTTTTTTTTTTATGTATTGTTCGAAATATCAAATGCAAATGTTCAAATTTAAAATCACTTGACTGGTGTAACGTATAGATACTATATTTTATTTTATTCTTACGGATGTACGCGTTAAACTTTATGTATTTGTTGCGTTCTCTTTGAATACCACCGCTTTGGAAACTGGCAAATAATATTCTCAAAAGCTTATAGTACGATATTTATTTATGTTTGAAAATACGAGCTGAGACGCAAAGATCTAATGGTACGTGATGGTAACTTAATTACATGTATACAATAAATCATATAGATTATGTAATACGTTAATCATAAACGTATAGTTAGAATAATTGGAATTGTTTTTGAAAGATATTGGACCGAATCATTTTCCTCCATCTGCTAGCGAACTCGCGGATATTTTTATTTTTGAAATTTTCACAACTATTGATATTGGTATATTTATTGAACCCAATATTAGTAATATTTGAACATAATTATTTTTACAAAAGAAGTTTTAGTTGAAACACTTTTTCGTGTTTTTAAATGTTCTAAAATGTTCACATGAATTTAATCGTTTTTATTTTTTTATTTATTTTTTTTTTTTAGTATCATTATATACATTATTACAGTATAAAATATACGTAAATCAATTTTTCAATTTTATATAAAACAACTATAAATACCTATTATTTCATATGTCTTGTAAGAGAACCTTTATTAAAAATTAAAAATTAATTTTTACTGCAGTATAAATATTTTATAAAAAAATTATTATTAAACCATTTTCAATATTGATATTATATTTTAGAATTATTATCTATTTTCTCGTACACGAAAAACTAGAATGGAACGTAATATTTATTTATTTTAGCGAATCATTATAATAATTGTGGAAGAATGTACGATAAATTCAAAAATAATGTATACGTTTTTGTAGTTCATAATAATATATTAGATTGTATGTCTTAAGGGAAAGAAAAAGAAATAAGAATTCCCTTACATCATAATATTCTAAATTCTAGTTAAGATGGTCGATGAGGTTATAAAACTAATAAAAGGCGGTGGTAATAAATATGCGTTGGTATGCGTGTTGCGAACCATCCTTGTACTATATAACAGTATATGTATACAAATATACCGCGAACATGTTATTAAATTGTTTAGCGCGTTAACAATGAGAGATGTGCTTAATTCTCCGTGGTGCATTTTAGGTGACTATTTATTGTGTTCAAACATTAAAAAAGTCAGCGTCGTAACGATAGCAAATTCACTGGTGAAAATATCGCACCCAAACTCATTGCACACTCACTGGCCGACTTAAAACGCGTCTTAGCGTCTGCCCGGACCAATTCACATTTTTGCAATGCGCGAACAGCAGTACATCGCATTTTTGGTTTGAACCATGTCTATCAGCTGTCCATTTTGAACGCTGGCCGAACTACAAAATGCCATTACATTGTTTACGTGTGGAGTTAGGAAAAAAATAAACACGAGATCAACTCGTTGTAGATGACTTTCGAATCGAAGACCACTACGCCTGCATTTGGTTTTAACTCTCCCCTAGCAAATTAAAACGATAGTTGACGATATTGATTCCATTTCGTGTCGGTACACCAGAGTTGAGCATAAGTCGAATAAAAAAATTATTCTTTATTCGTTTGTTTTTAATTTTTATTTTATTTTTTTACTATTATTTACTCTTTTTTTTTGGATATTATTCACAATTTATTTAATTCATTAATTCAGAATATACAATAAATTCATAAGTGAATTCACAAGACTGTTCAGAATAATTTTTATTTATTATTCACATCTAAAATTATTTAAAATGAAATATAATTTTTCATTCACAAAATGATCGATTTGTCATGGTTTTATTTTTCTATTGATAATTTTTATTTGTATTTTCCCGGGTACACTACCAATATTTTATTTACTATCTCTATTTCTACATACGGTGCGCAACACGATGAGACCGAGTAAACGAAATGAACGTACATGGTACATAGTATTTAGCGTTGACTGTCTAGGACTGTCTAACGGCAGACGTTACAAAAAAAGGCCAACTAGTCTCTATCGCGCAACGCTGTGCTTTACAAGCTCAAGCGCATCATTTAAAATTGCTTACTCGATAATCTCGATTACCACTGAAAAACACATTTATTTCATGTATACTATTCATAAGGTTCGAGCGCTTTTACCCAAAAAAAATATTAGATAATTCATTTTTTTATTTATTTTTTTTTTATTTTAGAAAAACGCGATAATCGGACAGACGGGGCGCAATTCATCGAGTACCCACATTGTTAACATTTTTGAAACATTCTATCCCCCGAAACCAACCAGACGTTTCCAGCCGAAAGCGTTTACGAATGGTTTGCATATTAATGAAAATTACGGATGAATCAACGATGTAGTCGAATCGCACATCTTATCAACATTAAAACGGGTGAACTCCACATAGGTAAAACCCACTTGGCCGAATATGGATAAAAAATAGTCTTTCGAAACCCATTTATATTGTAACTCGGTTTGGACTCAAAGTGATTTTAATCATTTAAAATATAAAAAAGTATAAATTAGGATGTGATAAACCGTTAAATTTCGAGTAGAAATACTCGGACCAAAAAACTGTATCAGATGCCGGGATATCCAGAGAGAAACGTGACTCGTTAGAAATACAACCGTCCATCGAATCTCCGAACAGTGTTATCTCCCGGTAGGGTTGACATTGCGGTCCTGCCGGTTGGGCCGCACAACGTCCGTCTACAATCCGGGCGCACTATCTCGGCCGATAAACCTGCGCGGCCGAACGGGACACGCCACACGACGGGAGGTACTGGGTTCTGGAATCGCGGGGCCAGTGACTACCGCGGGAGAGGGTTTGGTAGGGAAGGTTGTCACCTGGTTGTATATGGCCGCGTTGAGTACGGCCAACGACCCGAACGGTATGAAGTACATGATGACTAGATACATCCAGTGTATGTAAATAGATATGTAGTCCTTGTCGTTGCGCAGCTCACTGGGATACACCTGGTACACGTACTGGCCGTAGCCGGTGTGCATGCACTTCTGAACGCGCACCTCCCAGAACCGGGTGATGTTGTACAGCACGGAGAACACGATAATGGCCACCACGTAGGCGCGCGCCCGGCCGTACGTGCACAGCGAGCGCGCCTGCAGTGGATGGCATACGGCCACGAACCGTTCCAGCGTGACGGTGAGCGTTAGGTAGACGGACACGGTCTGCGAGATCATCGCTATCGGGTAGACGACCGGCGCGATCAGCGGGTATACCTTGAAGTAGTAGTTGAACAGATGGTTGGTGCTCGGGTAGATCACCGGCAGCCCGAACAGCAGTATGGACGTGACGATCAGCACCGTGTCGCACCGGGCCAGCCCGATCAGCAGGTAGTTGATGGATGACTTCATCTGCGGCCGGGACAGTATGATCATCGAGATCACGTTGCCCAGGATACCGAACACGCCGATCACGTTCAGCAGCACGCCGTATGCCACGAATTCGAACAGCAGGTTGTAGTCGTCCACCTCGTCGTCCGCGGCGGTCCCGTTGCTGCCGTCCACGCCGCCGATCACGCCACCCGCGCTCATCACGCCACCGACGCCTCCGACGGCCGCGCCCACCCGGCCACCACCGCCGGCGCTGCCGCCCGCACCGCCACCGCTGCCGCCGCCTCCACCCACGTCGAACACGGGACAGTACATCACGGTGTCGTTGTACAACGACGAGTTGGCCACCACGGCCGTCCCGTTGTCCACGGGCCATGAAGAGTTCATCGCGGCTACCACGGCCCGCACTAATCGATACCGGTGCAGCTGCTGCTGCTACCGTATGCCTACCGACATCGATGGGTCATCTGAAAGAACGCGAGAAACAAAACACTATAGTCGCAGCGAAATTGTTAACACGTTTTTTTGTGAAATTATAAATATATATTTTTACGACTAGCACTATTGACGTGATAGAACTTCATTATAGCGAACAGTTTTTAATAATTTTTAATGTCCCGGAATTATAAACGTTTTAAACGCCTTCCAGGAGGTTACACCTGGGATATTGAGAAAATATAAGTTTAAACAAGAGGATTGTGGCCGTTAATTAAGGTTAAGTGGACAATTTTACGAAAATGTTCAGCTACTTCTTTGACTGTTGGGATGAATTCGTCATTATGGACTATATCGTTTGAGATATCGAAATGCACGTACGTTGACGGATGTATTTAGATTAGAACGTTTGGATTTAATTTATATTCGAAGGCTCGGTTTGGCCATATAGGTTTTAAAGGGAGTACTTAATTATTTTGAAATTATGAGTTTGGAAGTTAGAAGGAGTCGGTTGTTGAAAGTAATTAGCTTGGTATGGAAACGGTCAGTCGTCGGTCCAAATGGAGACTTAGCAAATATTTTATGTGGTGAAGGAAAGGTAAATTATTGAGGATCATGTTTTTGGAGCTTTTTGGTTTAGTGCAAAAGTGCAAAGAGTTGATTTTGATTCATTAATCCCCATTTGATATTTGTAGTAAGTTTATGTGTATATGGAGCGAATTGAATGCGTTTTAGGTTCCGAATGAAAAACCAAGTAATAGCTTAGTCGTCTACAAAATCACCTGTGGTTTTGCGATTAGTTGTGGCTAAGGTTAGCTACCAAAACAGCGAACCACAATCGGTGTGATAATCAGTCTTGTAAAGTATTCAAATACAAGTATTTGAATACATGTATTAAAATACTTTTTGAAGTATTTTTTGGTATTCTAAATACAATTTTTTTAGAGTATTTTTTAAGCATTTTGAATACTTTTTAAAAGTATTTTTAACATTTTGTAAATACTTGTATTTAAATACCACAAAGTTCGTTTTAATAATTGTATAATCATAATAATTCTCCATCCTAATAATTGTTCCTACTTCTAAGAATAATATTCGGTTATTATTGATGAATCTAATAAGTAATAAAATAATAAGATATTACTATAATATTACTAATTTTAAAACTGTTAAATTTCAAACCGTTTTAACGGTATCATATATTTTTTTTTAAATATTATTTTGCTTAATTTTATATTAATAAGTATTAATTGTTATAGGTTGTGACAAATATCAATAAGTAATAATGTAAATAATTTATTAAAATATGCAATGGTTATTATTTATATTGTAATTACAATTGGTAATATTTATTTTCTAAAAAGTAATTTATTTTTAACCATACCTGTATAAATGTAAAATAATATTATCGGCTTAATCTTAAAGTTTTAACTCTAAAAATGTAATTTCATGTTTATTAATTTCATGAATATAGAGTATCAAAGATAAATTTTTATCTCATTATCTAGGTTATATTATAATATAATTATATAAAAAGAAAACATTATATTAATGAGATTCAATTTATAAACACAAAAAAATTGTATAACAGAAAAAGTAGTATATAACAATGTTAAAAATTTAAAAAATGCTACATCCAATTTTATATGGGTTTATTATTGTAATTTTTAAGGAAATTTTTTCAAATAGTTCTATATTAATAGTTAATACCATTTTTTATTTATTTTTTTGTCATTTAATTGTATTAATAATAGTAGATATATATAATATGTGAATGAAATATGTGAACATGACCTCCAAATAGTCAGACATGTTTTGTATATATCAAATTGTTAAATCTATAGTAATTAGTATCATAATATAGGTACCTAAACTTATATATAATCAGTGGCATAGACACAATTTTTTTCTGTTGGTGGGGGAGGGGGGGGTTAACTATAATATTATATAATATAAAATTAAAAAAAAATACTTGTATTTGTATTCAAATACTTAGTGAGTATTCGTGAAATACATTTTTATAATAGTATTTTATAAGTATTTTTAACACTATTTTATTCGAATACTAGTATTAGTATTTTAATACTTTTTCAAAAGTATTTTTTATAAGACTGGTAATAATATTGCCAGTAATATATAATAATAATTTGTAATAATATTTTCTTGTGTTTTGTTATGTCACTTTCTCGTAAAAACTCAGAGACTTTCCAAATGTTTTTATAAACAATACTCCTATTCTAACCTCAGACTTGGTTGAATATTTTAGACTTGATCTTGATAAAATATTGACATGGAATAAACATACTAAAACAAAAAGACTACTTCATAATGCACACTCCGTTTGCTTAAAACACTCCTATTAAATAAAAAATTCACAAATTTAAAAACATAAATTATTATTTACAAATCTCTTTCAAAACCTATATGGAATCACAGACTCCAACTATGGGGAGTTATTTGGCTAACCAAATACTAAGAAAATTTAAATTTTTCAAAATATCTTATTTTGTAAAATCACCTATGCTTTTTTTTTTGTTACAAATCATACACTTCATAATGACCTCAATATAAAGAAAATTAACCAAGAAGCCAAATTATCTTGCAAAATATTTTACTTTAAACTTCCAAACCACTACAATCCACTCATAAAAAATCTGTCCATCTTAATTCTTCTTGGAAATCTCCGTGATAGACTAAAAAGATCATTGTATCGTGACTTATTACAATTTTATGTATACTCAATAAAAATAACACTGAATATCTTGTGCCTTGCATAAAGATTGTATATAATACAGCAAAATTTAAGAAAATGAAAATAAAAAAAAATGTCAAAACTACAGTTATTACTATTGTTACAGAATTAATAAAATTATGGTTTTTGAAGTAAAAATTGAACAAAAAATATAAATAGTAAGTAACAACCAGCCATAGTTTGATTTACGTATATAAAAGCCATGTAATTACAAACTATATCATTTAAAGCATTTCTTTTACGTATTATCACTTCTTGAAATCATTCTATAGTATTCTATAGTAACCAATAAAACTTAAAATTTAATAATAAAATAGATTGTTGATTGTAGATTTCTTCTACAAATCTTAAATTTGATTGTAATTTATTTGCATTGGACTTTTAAGTTAAAATATTCAAGTCTTGTGTGAAAAAAATATAAGTATAATAAAAAATTGATGTATAGTAATATCACCATAATTCGTGACAGTTTTCGATTTTATGGAACTTTTACGTCATTATAATACTTTCTTAAATTACTAATGATTTTACATTAAATTATGTTTATTTAATTTGTGCGAGATAACCGGGATTTCGCAATGTAATCACGGATGGCATTCATACTTAGTCATTAAAATAATATTATAAAATATAAACAAAATTATACACTGAAATATTAACAAAAATTATTACGACCATCTTTATGTATAAGTATATATATATATTACATGGAAGTTAAAAACGAAGCAATTAAAATAATATTATTTTTAACTAAATGTATGGAATATTTAAAAATATTAATATTATTATTATAATATTATAAAATTCGTTTCAAATAACAATTTTTTTGTGTACTCACAATTTTCTTTTTAGCATAATAATATTACACAAAGCAAAATATAATGTTATGTTACATCAATTTGAAGATATTGTTCTATTTATAAAAATGCTTTAACTAAAAAAAATCATTTTTCTTATTTCAAAAAAAAAATATACTCATTAAGTGTATACTTCTTTGTGAATCGGACATTGAGGTTATAAATTCTACAGTTGTTTTTATAATTTACCAGTCTAATTTATGAAATGACATTTACTATGCACTTCATGTTCACTGATAAAATAGTTTTTTTTTTTTTTTTTTAAATAAACAAACAATAATATACAATATTTATTCATTTCTATTATAAGTAATCAAGTAATGTAGAATATAGATAATTGCTTACAGAGCTGGTGGACTTCATTGAAGTGGGTTTCAAAGTAACACTACATAAAAATTCTTGACTCTTTTTTTATTTTTTTAATTATTTAATTTGTTAATTAATTTATTAATTGATAGAATAATTACAAACTAAATTTATTTTTACTTCTGTTTATTTTTATTGTTATATAGCCGTTATTTGAAAGATTCCTCTCAAACTTTCCATCTATTTGCGAAATTCCTTATATTCTCTTTGACTGTCGATTTTTATCCAAGTACGTGCTTTTTAAAATTACTAAATTCTATTAAGATCCTTTATAAACTGAAAGCTATTTTTTCTCTTATTTCCCAATCACCTCCAGTAATCGTATTTACTATTTCTCTCTTCTAACCAGGCTTTTTAATTTAACATTTCATTTAATTGTAATAATTGTACTCTTAGTTTAGTTGTAATAAGTTTTTTTTTTTTTTTCATAATGATGTAATAATGATAATAACTATTGTGAATAGTTGTAACACAAAGTTAAAAAAAAAATGTATAAAACCGTTTTTATTTATGTTCACAATGTAAAACATACGAGTATTAAAATGGTACTGCGTTATTAAAATATATAGTTAAATAATTGTTGCATGATAACAAGTTTTATTTGTAATTATATCAATGAAATAAAAAATAAAAAAGCAACTTTTCAGGGAAAAGTTTAGGTAGGTACATTACCGGGGAATGAATCATTTTGATTTTTCTTCAAAAACTGAGACGAGCAGAATTATTTTAAAACATTGAACATTATCAATAATTCACAATAAAGATAATAAGGTATAAAAAAAGATTTTGTACCTGATCGATTTTAAATAATACCTGGTTTATATTCGTTTTAAATATTTACTCGCACATGAAGTATTTATCCACCATGATCCCTAAGCTAATTATTGTGAAATCTAACTTCTTGCGTATGTGTTTTTAGATTTTACATAATACCCAAATGGTTCGTAGGTATTTGATGTTAATCTACGCAGTATCATTTCCGTTGTTAAGACATTATATATTTTTATTTCGAATTGTTTGCAATTGATCACTCGTCCCGGGTGATACGAATCGTTGA